GAGTGATGCTGCCCCTGCACACAGAAACACAGGTCCATGCATATTCCGACTATCCCTCCAGTGTTTCCCTCTTCCTCTCATCCCAGCAGCTTGCCGTGCAATAAAGCAGGACATGTCATTAGTGGGGTTGGGGGTTAAAGACATGCAGCTGCAGTGCTGGAGCAGAGGGAACAGATATCTAAGAAAATATAGGAGGTGCGTGTGCATGTGGGAGAAAATGTGTGCGCTGTACAGCAGCCTGTGTGCTTGGAAGAGAGCGGCTTTAAATAGGACCAGACGGTTTCCTGCCATTTCTCTCCTTTGTGCTCTAATGAGAAGGAACAGAGAGAAGGCTTTCAGCGGTGGCCGCTGGCCTCGCTGTGTCACTGTGAGTCATGTCTCTGTTGGTACAAGGACCTGCTGACACCAGAGGGTCAGCAGACAAACTGGAAGATGACGGCCCGCAGACGACGACGGCTGAGATAAAACTGAAATTATGAGAGGCCCCGAAGCAGAAGGGACAGCTGTCAGTGCCTCAGTAAGGTTTCACTTTCCCTGCATAGAGGCCGCATTAAGTAGTGTTTTATCTTAACAGGTGTTTTTTAATAAAGCTGGATTTATGAAAAATATCAAATGAAACGAGCCTATTTTGTGGATCGGGTCCAAGAGCAGATCTCAGGCAGACACAGATAGAGCAGCAGCACATCGCTTTATCCCATTAGACAAGGCCTGGTGAATAGACCTAGCTCTCTGTGTTGGTGCAGTCTCCAGCTCATCCTGTCACCGGGACCATGACACCCCAGCTTACCCTGTCTGTATGTCTGCAGCCAGAGTTCAGACTGATGTGGTTTAGTGGTAGAGGAGGAGCTGAGAGACCCTCTGTTGCAGATACATGGCTTCTTTGTTTTGGGAACAGGACACTGCAGTGGAGGATGGCTTGAGCTTGCAGGGCACTTCTGAAGCACATTTTCTCATTTTCAAGCACATGCCACTGCATCTCAGCCTCAAACATCACAGGCCTTTGCTGAATCTGACAAACGGATCCCGTTACCTGTCACAAATCCTCAACGCGCTGCAACCTCAGTTTAAGCTGAACAGTTGGGCTAGAGTCTGTACAGCCAGACTTCACTGATGAAAAAGGATGGATGTGTCTGGTGACCTAATCTTTCCAAGACAAGATTTCACTGGAGTGACTGTAATACAGTGGTAACTGGAAGGAAAGTGCAGCCACTCGAAAATGAACCCAGATCAGAGTGAGGACTGGTAGACCAACACTTTCTATTCACTGTTTCCAAGGTGAGCCACTTCTCTCTCTCTCTCTCACTCTCTCTTTCTCTCTATACAGTATATATATATATATTTCACATAACTTGCACTGTTTGAATGCCATATTACTGAAGAAGAAGGAAGAGACTGTGTCCTACCTTGGCAGCCATGATCATAGAGGAGCCGCCGCGGACTCCGAGGATGGGGATATGGGTCTGGGCAGAAATGAAGTCCAGGATCTGGGCGATGGCCTCCTGGTCGGTGTCATCCCCAAACACCACGCCCTGCAGCCAGTGCTCCGTCATCAGGTCACAGATGCTCTTGATGATGCTTTTAGGGTCTGTCTCATTCATGGTCAGCACCTCCACATTGGGCGCCATGTGGAGGAAGTCCTCCTTCTCCCGGGCCCCGGCCAGTGCCACCTCACTGGAGTTGCCCACCAGGACGACGGCGATGCTGAGGCCACGCAGGATGTTAGGCAGGGCCAAGTGGTGGGGAGGGGGCTGTGGGATGGGGATGGGGAGGAGGTGGAGAAGGCAGAGCAGCAGGAGAAGGAGGGAGAGACATAGACAGGAGCTGGTGCGGTGGTGGAGCAATGCAGGTGGATGTGAGGGTCGGACTTGTCTCTCTTGCTCCTGGGTGACCGAGGGTTTGGAGGAAAAGGTCCCGGCAAGGCCGCGAGGTGGGGACATCCTGCGGCAGCCACAGACAGGCATGGTGGAGGAGTGGGAGAGTAATACCTGGAGAGAAAAAAGAAGAGGAGGCGAGAAACAGAAAGAGATGGAGACCAAAGAGAAGAAGAAAGAGGGTAGGCAGAGATTTGATAAAGCAAGATAACAAGAGAAGAAACAGAAGAAAACAGAGAAGGCAGGAGATGAAGAGAGGGAGATCAGGGTTAATAAACTAGCACTGTGCAACACAATGAATACAGTGAACTGCTGAGAGGCTACAGGCATCATAAGAATCAGTGGGTATCAATGTCAATCCAAAGAAATGTGGCAATGAAGAAAAACCTTGTGGAAAACGAGGCTTTAAATACACACAGAGGGATGAGAGGCACATAAATAGTGCATAAACACACATACACTCAGATACATGGAGTGATGGCATACGACTTCATATAATCTCACACGGATCAATAATTCATGTGGAATGTTCTGAGGCAGCATTATGGGATATATCATGGAGGATATAAACTCTCCCTCCAGATGAGATGCTGGCTTCTTGACAGGGAGGGAGTGAACAGAAGGAAAAACCCAGAAAGATATACAGGGAATGCAAAGAAAGGGCAGATGGAGGGAGAGCAACTCCTCGCCAACCGTCTGGAGCTAAATGACTGACGCACACAAACTAACGAATGCTGAAACTGATAAAGTGATTGACAGCGGAGGCGCTTGGTGCAACACGCAAGGCTTTGATATACCTGCCCCCCCCCCAACTCCTCTTGGCCTAGTTTAGCACTCAGGCGTTTGCCGTCCGTCCCTCCATCCTTCCGCCTCCCTCCCATGTTCTACCTGACCGTATCTCTTTCTCTAACTCCCTTTTGTCTGTGCTTCTTTATAGAGCTTTTCAGTAATGGGGGATGCAGAGGAGAAGAAAGGGCCAGGTGAGAGAGGGGGACAAGAGCAAGGTTCAGAGAAGACAGAGGAGAAAGGGCAGCGAGGTGGGACAGCAGCAACACAGCTGGAGAAAAAAGCATACATGAAAAAGTGTGTTTATATCTGAGTGTGTGGGAGGGCGTATGTCCTCCTGGGTTTAAAAGCACATAGCCTGTGTAGGTGCACAGTCGGCGGGAAGAGACAGCGCAGGTGTAGGTGCTCATAAACTTGTTCTGACTGGGGTATTGTGTGTATATCTCATACGTGACTGCTTTTAACAAGGCAGACGGAAGGTACAAAGAAGAACAAAAACACTAATACAATAAGCAGCCTGTAAAGCTGACAGCTAATAAGGCAGGAAATGACAGAGGGGGGAGGCGAGGGGGAGGAGGAGGAGGACGTATGCAGAGATGACAGAGCAACTTCTTTAGGGAAAACTAATTGCTGGAGGTTCATCAGCTGTAATTACAGGTCCCTGTGTTAATAGTCAACTGCACACCACTCTCCAGGAAGGATGGAGGGAGGGATGATAAGGAGCACGAGGAGACAGAAAAGGAAGGAGGGAGAGAGTGAAACAAGTGAAAACCTCGGTGAGACACGGGAAAGGAGGAATGGAGCGACAGGAGACAGAGGAAGGTAGCAGAGAAGGATGGAGGAGTAGAGCTGGAGAGATAGAGGGAGCGGTGCCCTCCTTGAATCTGGACTTCGCTGGCAGCACTCTGTTTCCATAGCAACATTTAAAATAGGCCTACATGCACACGCATGCAGGCACAGCTGATGGACATACATATACACACAGACATTTTGCAATAAGCACTGATGATGTAAATGCAGGGACGTAGTCGGGTGCGGCGCTCGCTCGGCCGTGTGCCCTTAGTGGTTTACACAGCAGCTCCTCTCAAGCACAGATTAGCACAGGCCCCTGACACACTTTGAACAAGAACACACCCTTTTCATGCAGACACTCCAGATTCCCTCCATGTCACACACAAGCACATGGTACCCGACAGCCACACACACACCCCGGGTAGGGATTATACCAGCCAACGCACTGTGTAACTCCAGTGATGACTGGGATTAAAAGTCCCATAGCGAGTAAAAGGCTGCCTCATAAAGAAATGCAAAGGGCGTGTATTAAACATAAACTAGGTTATGACACTAAATGACCCCATTTCACCATCAGCCCGCCATTAGCTCCATTAGCCACACCAGTGCACACAGCAGCCAGATCAGTTACACCCGGGTGGAGTGCAGATATCTCCACCCGCCCAGGACCCTGCAGGTCACATGCCTTCCTGCCTTTTCTCTGTGGGGGAATTTTCTGATGTCCAAGTTGATATTTGTGCTAAATTTGAAGAAATTCCCTCAAGGTATTCCTGAGATTTCACATCCACAAGAACTGTACAGCCGGACGGGCAGACGGAGAACCTGAAAATGTAACGCCTCCAGCCACAGCTATCGCAGCCACAGAGGCATAAAAAGGAACGGATGGATGGAGTATGGTCCACGGAACAATCCATTAGATTTTGGTGCTGGTCCATATCCAGGAAGTTTTTAAATGATCCTTCACCACTGTGAACTAGGGCCAGTTTTAATATTGTTGCTTCTAACTTCATGCAAATTTCCTAGAATCCCTGGATAAAAACTGCACAGTAGCATCCACATAAGCTCTACTACACACCAAAGTCTGATCTGGATCCAAGGAACAATCCAGATCTGCTGATCCAGAATGTTCACAGTTATAGGGTTCACAGAAAACTGACTGCTCTGGGACAAAGACGAACGCTACAGACTTGCTACTAAGATCAAATTCTAGTTGAAACTTTGTTGATCCAGTAGCTGTCAACAGATCTGACGTATCCTCTGACGTCTTGAATAACTTTCACACTAATAATGACATCGATGCGATTCCAAATACCAGAGGTAGGTTTTCGTGGTTAAGGACTCGTTATGAGGGTCACACTGTCACGGGACTACTGCTGGCATTATGGCGGAGGCTTGCTCCCCTGGGTGTTCTCTTATTTATTTCACAATATACCAAAGGTGTCACCAAGATAATGATCATCTGTGTAGACAAGAGCTGAAATGATAAGTTAACAAGTTAAGCAGTAAAAAATAAATCAGCAACTATCTGGCACAAAGGGACAGTTTCCATTATCATGTTGGTTCTTGTTGGTTAAAGAAAAGAGGATTTTTTTTTTCTTTTGAATTTATGACTAAATAAGCACTAATTTGTTCCTTAGGTATTAATTCTTAAGAAATGTCCTGCTTTGTCAGGACTGTGTAGGTTTAAACAACCCACTAAATCAGCACATTAATTACAGTGAAAGGCGCTTGTTGTAGCTTTTCATTGTGCCGTTGCCAGTTTTTCATGCCCAGTACACTTTTCCCCTGTGTTTGTGACAACCAGGATCTGCTGTGGAAATTACTGCAAGACACTGTAGTAAAAACATCCCATCCAACATAAGTGTCTGGACCGGAGCACGTTCTGTGTTAAAGTGCCAAATCTCAGCTTTAATCTGAGTAGGTTTAGCTCAATATGGAAAGAACCATGTGGGAGAAATGGGCTTTTTAACACATGGTTTACTGGTTTAAAAGGAATGGGACAGATTCTGCTTGTAGTCTGGTGTTCAGTTCAGTCCCTTTAGGATATTCCACCTCTTCACGAGGTCATACTGCTCAACGATGATGTTGAAATCATCACGTTCTTGATTTTTATCGTTTTTGTGCCTCATTATCTTCTTCCCTTGCACTCTGGTTGCTGCTTTACTCTACATATGGACAGACAACTCCACCCCAATCCAAAGGGCAACTCTCAATACTCAGCTCTTTGTGCATGAACTAACAGTGAAAGGACAAAAAGAAACGTTTAGTAGCCAAGTGTCCCATTAAGGTTTGAAAACCTTCCACTACAGGCGCTGTGTTAAAAGGCCTAACCCTCCCACACATTTCTTTCTATACTGATGGAAACCTACGCAAATGAATGCTGAGACTTGGCATTGTGGTGTGAACTGTACCTACAAACACATCGGTTAAAGGTAGGGTTGTTGACTCCTTCCAGAAGCATTTTTGTTATGTACCTTGAATTTCTCTTTTCAGCCCAATAGCAGCGAAAACATTAAATGCACCGACAACGTAAAGAAACAAATCCATCATCTCAAGCAGCAGCAGGACTAAAAAAAACACCACCAATCATTTTAACCATTAGGTGGCCCACCTGCCTGTCAACATACTTCCTACTTGGGTGCACCCCTTCCTCGCGCAAGCCAAGAATCTCCCACAAGGCCAGGCAGGCAAATGTGTTTTGATAGCTAAAGCTAGCAAGCTATGGCAGAGAAGATACCACAGCAGCTTTCATTTGCAAATGGAGGCTGTTGTCACAGGCCAGGCCTTCTCCTTTAAGACATATGGTCTCATACGTAACGTTGCAACCTGCAATGTGAGAGCAAGAAGCCTGCTGCACAAAGGCTCCTTCTACAGTAGTCAGCTCTAAGTGTATAGATAGGATTGTTTTATGTATGTGTTGTACAGCACTTTGGTCAACTGATGTTTTTAAATGTGCTTTATAAATAAACTGAATATGAAGAACCGTTTCATTTCAGATAGAGAATATTCTGACTATCAGGATCATGTGTTTTCTTTGTGCCTGGTGACGACCACTTCAGCCTCTGCTGCTGTTACAGACGCAACAAGGCATCGGCCAATTAGGTGCAAACACAGTGTTTCAGGTAGTTACCGAGCCCAAGCACCAGATACTAAGCAGCCCCAAATGGACTATAAGAGGGGTAATAGTCATCAATAAATGTCAAGGCTAGCACGGCTCATATTGTTCTAGAGGAAAGTTGACAGAGCAGGAAATATGAAGCATGACACAGACTTTACAGCTCTGAAAATGGCTCTGCTCCTTTTTTGTCACCTATAAATCACACAGTTGTAACCAGCAGGGAGTCGACTTTGACATGTGTGACACGCACACCAAGGGAAGGTCGAGATGTGTGGGAGCAAACTAACTGTAGCTCCCGTAGGCAATCAGGAAACCTGGCTTTCCAGTTGGTGAAAACTAGCTGCGTGGCCTTGAACCAACAGGCAGCATCTGTTTGAGTTTTGTATTAAAACGTGTGACTGAACAGCACTCTGTTCCG